CCAGCATCCCATATGGTCCCGAGCACAGCCAGGAGAAACTTCTGAGAAACACTGAGTATGGTAAAAAAAAAAAAAAAAAAGAACAAAAAATAAAATTAAATAAAATAAAATGCAAAATGTGTGAAGATTCTTCACTTCCCACCAACTTCAGGTCCACTTTACAGAAACCAACCATCCTAAACAGCCAAACAGAAAGCAAAGTCTGCACCACCCAACCCAAGCCAAATGAAGCCTGGCAACCCCAATACAGCTCCAGTGTTTCTGTTGAGATCGAAAAAGCTCTGGTCAGCGGAGGGATACAGTGGCTAAGGCATTTGCCTGCACTGGCCTTGCATGTGGCTGACCCACGTTCGAAACTGGGTACCTCACAAGGTTCCCCAACTCCTGCCGGCAATGATTCCTGAGCAAAGAGCCAGGAGTAAGCCCTGAGCACTACTGGTGTGACCCAACACCCAAACCAAAACACACACACACACACACACACACACACACACACACACACACACACAAAGGCTTGAGGATTGTAAGTGTGGGGACGAGGAAGGAGGCCCAGGGCTGGAAGGGCGTGCTGGAGAATAGAGGTGTGGGAGTGAAGTCCTTCGTTTTCCCCCCAACTCCACAATGCAAATTGAGTCATTTAACAACAAAGCTCCCGAAAGTTATCTTAATTATAATAATCAACTAAACTAATCGCACCCAGAAAAGTGGGGATTGCCAGCAATGAGTGCACACCCACACACCCACACAGTTCTCCCACTGAGAACACCGAGAATGCCCGCCCTCCAGGACATGCTTGGCAGCACAGCCAAGGCACTCTCACTGCCACCCAGGCCCCCAGGCCCACGGCAGGCACCCTCAGCACCCCTTCACACGTTCGCTTGGATCTCGGAAGTCTCCACGTGGCCCAAGCACCTCTTTACCCTCAAAGCCTCCTCAGGCCAGAGCGAGAGTACAGCAGGTAGGGCGCCTGCCCTGCACGCAGCAGACCTGGGTTCCATTCACCGCACCCCGTATGTTTCCTTGAGCCCCTCCAGGACAGGAATGATCCCTGAATGCAGAGCCAGGAGTAACCCCTGAGCTTCGCTGGGTGTGACAAAAAAAATTAACAACAACAACAAAAACAACAACAACAATAAAAAGGTTCCATCTAGCTTCATTTGAATGTCCTGGATCAGCCGCAGGACCCTGAAATCACCCCCCCCCCACCTCCTGCACTTCCTGTCCGTAGGGGAGAAAGTGACTGTCCATGTTGAGGTCCAGAGGCAGGAGAAGGATCTGGGGGGATCAATGAGTCAGCCCAAGGAGACCCGCAGTGGTGGGCCTGTGGGTAGGCCTCCATGGAAGGGTCTTTCCGAAAGGAAAAAGGCAGTGGGTGATATGATGGTGACAGTTGGGTCACTGGAGCCCACAGAGGGACAGGCCACCCGCCAACGCAGGATATGAACAGGTTCTCTGAACCCCAACTCTGACTTTTCAGAAAGTAGTCGTGGAGGAAAATGATGGGTGCCAACTTAACAGATCACTGATAGTCAAGCTGGGCTCCAGGGGGTTCAGGTCTACCAGGACTGAATGGGGTCGGGGGCAAGTGGCTCTGTCCTCTCCATCCCAGCACCAGATTCCTGAGGCCTGATGCAGCAGGTGAAAAGGTGAGGGGCCATAGCCCCTTCCTCAGGGTCCCACGCCACTCAAAGGGGCCCCTGGGGATGAATGTGAGGGTCAAGAATGAGTCTGAGCCACCTTAAAAGGGGGCTGCTTAGTAATGTGTTAAGAATTTCTTTTTTGTTCCTTTCGGGGCCACACCCATCAGAGCTAGATCCGTGCTCAGGAATCACTCCTGGCAGTGTTCAGGGAACCGTACGGGATCAAACCAGAATTAGCTGCATAGAAGGCAAATGCTCTATGTGCGGTACTATCACTCCAGCCCTATGATGTTAAGAATGTCTTTCTTTTGGGCTGGAGTGATACTACAGCGGGGTAGGACATTTGCCTTGCACATGGCCAACCTGGGTTCAATTTCCAGCATCCCATATGGTCACCTGAGCACCACCAGGAGTAATTCCTAAATGCAAAGCCAGAAGTAAACCCTGCGCACTGCCGGGTGTGACCCAAAAAGCAAAAAGAAAAAAAAATTATTTCTATCTTTCTTTCCTTCTGTTTCTCTCTTTCTTTCCATTTGTTTGTTTTGAGGTCACACCCAGCACTTCTCAGGCCTAACTCCTGGCTCTGTGCTCAGGGGCCACTCCTGGTTGTGCTTGGGGACCATATGTGGTGACGGAGATCAAAGAACCCAGGTCGGCCACATGTAAGACAAGCGCCCTACCCGCTGTCCTATCTCTTTTCAATGCAAGAATTTTTTCATTGTGCTAAAGGTATTGTGTTTCCATTCTTAAAGACCACTTTTGGAGGTGTGCTGAGAAGCAGTTGAGAGTGAAATCATGAAGGGTCTAGGGGTTTGGACGAATTATTCCTTCCCCTTTATCCTTGCAGACCAGAGGGATAGGAGCAAGTGAGGAGAAAGAAGAAACAAGACTGGCCAGTGGGGGCAAGGACTGAAATTGGGGGATGGGCCACGGACGCTCATTCTATCTGGTTTTGCTTTTGTATTTACTAGAATTTTTTTGTTGTTGTTTTGCTTTTTGGGTCACACCCAGCGATGCACAGGAGTTACTCCTGGCTCTGCACTCAGAAATTACAACTGGTGGTGCTCAGGGGACCATATAGGATGCTGGAAATCAAACCCAGGTCAGCCGCGTGCAAGGCAAACGCCCTATCCGCTGTGCTATTGCTCCGGTCCCTTACTAGAATTTTTAATTATTAATTTTATTTTTGGGTCACACCTGGCGATGCACAGGGGTTACTCCTGGCTCATGCACTCAGAAATTACTCCTGGTGGTGCTCGGGGGACCATATGGGATGCTGGGAATCGAACCCGGGTCGGCTGCGTGCCAGGCAAACACCCTAGCCTCTGTGCTATTGCTCCAGCCCTTTTACTGGAATTTTTTAGAGTCAAAACAAGTAACTGCAGGGATCTGAAAAAGGAGACCAGAAAACCCACCCAGAGAGAGTCACCCAGTAGAGACTTAACAGAAAGGCGGCTAAAGGGGAGACCCAGACCCCGAGAAGCCGCTTCACAGCCTCCAGCTGCACCCTGCATTCTGGGTGACACTCATCCAGTCCCTCTGGGTTTGGTTTTGTTTGTTTTCGGGGCCACACCTAGACAGGCTCAGCGATTACTCCTGAATCTGCACTCAGGAACCACTCCTGCTGGTGTTCAGGGGACCATATGGGGAGTTGGGGATTAAACTCGACTTGGCTGAATGGAAATCCCCACCAGCTCCTCTGTTGAGATGGAGGCAGGGGCTGGCAGCAAGCCCCCGTGTGTGGGAAGGCTTCCTGAGCATATGACGAGCTGAGGGCTGCATTCAGTCCTGCTGGGGACCGGAGCAATCCTCTAAGGACCTGGGTCTCAGTGACACCACTGCACACTGGGGGGCCCACTTGGCTGTTTAGAGACTATGAAACAGTCGAGGCAGAAGTACAGAGAGCACCTGGGGCTGCTGTGACTCCAGGCCGCGGGGGGTTGGAGAAAGAAACCCAGGAAGGTGCCATTTGGGCTCTGGTACCCACCATCACTGAGCACGCTGTGTGACCTCAGAAGAGTCCCTTGCCGTCTCTCTGGGCCTGTTTCTCTGTCTGCACAGATCACAGGTGTCCCCTTCAGTTTACACACGACAGGACTCGAAACCTGCCTATATCTGACTGCACCCAGAAGGGGCTGGGGTTAGGGGTACAGCCTCCTCAGAGGCTGGAGGGACAAAGGTCAGCCTCCTGGGAAAGTAGGACAGCACAGGCCTCTGGAGTCAGGTGGCTCCAACCGAGGCCCCCTCAGCCCAGGACACCGCACAGAGATGATCAGGAGGGAAGAATGTTCCAGCACTGTCCAGATGAGGTACCAAGCCCAGAACCCAGGATGGCCTCGCCTCTCCTCCCCTCTCTCAACACCTCCTGGATCCCTGCCCACAGAGGTCCTTCCTCACCACCCCCCCCCCACACAGGGCCCTGCCTGGGGTATCCCCACCATCCCCCCAGACCCAGGTGGCGGCCCCAGTACTTGCTAACCCCACACCTCAGTCATCCTTAGTCAGTTTCTCTTTCTTTCCCCACCAAGAAGACTCGCTTGCTCCGGAAGCAGTAGCCTCAGACACAAACCTATGCTCAGGGACCCCTGAGTCATGAAGACTTGGGTCTGTCCCACCTCTCTTCCCCCCAGAACGGACCAGAAATATATGGACAGGGGTGCTGGCAAGCTCTTGGGGGGCAATCTCTAAAGGGGTGCAGTCTGGGTGATTTGTTCAGGCCCTAAATCAGGGGCTGGTGCCTGGATTAGCTCTGTACCCCCCCAATTCTACTGCCTCCCCGACACACACACACACACACACAGGCACAGACATCTGATCTCAGAGCATTACCGGAAAGGAAACTTGGCAACAGCTACTCCGTGTCACCAAATCCCAGTCTTACCCCCCAGCTGGCCTGAGCACAAAGCCTCAGAGGGCCTGGGAGGGGTGGGACAGGGAAGGTGGGGTGCTGGATTCTGATCCCCACATTCTGATTCCCTCCTCTCCCCTCACTTTTGGGGTCTGCAGTGTCCTGCCCGTCTCAGCCATGACTCACTACCAGCCTCTGGCCCCTGTCAAGCGGGCCCGGGGCCGCCCAGGGTCACCCACCATTTCTGAGGGCCACCCCAAGCAGACCCCATCCCCTCCGGAGGTAGCCACTCTCCTCCAGGGTCCTTTAGGGTTGTCTGTCTGCTATGCAAAATCCCGGGAGTTGTCCGCGCTCCCCTGCGCCCCCCTCCCCGCAAACACACACACACACACACACGAACACGCACACGCACACGCACACGCACACGCACAGCAAAGGGGCCCCCACCCCCAGGCTCCCCACCCCTCCCGAGCCACGCGAGGCCCGTCCTCCAGGCGCACTGGCGCACTCACCGGCCCTGCTTAGTGATGATCATCTCCGTCTGGTGCTGGTTGAACTTGGACCACAACAGGTGGTTGTTGAGCGCGACCCTCAGCTTCCCCGACACCTCCAGGCCGGCGGGCACCGCGTAGTCGTCGCGCGGGCCGGGGTAGAGGCCGGCGCGCGGGTCGGGGGCCGCATAGGCGTCTGCCGCGCCGCCGTAGCCGTCGGCGCCCGCCGTCTGCGGGAAGGGCTCGCCGGCGGCGCCGGGGAAGCCGGGCGCCGGGGGCCGGGGCGGGTAGGCGTAGGCGCCCAGGAAGCGGCCGGGGGGCGCGGGCACCAGGGCGCCCCCGGCGTAGGGCGCGCGGCGATCGTCCTGCGCGCCGGGCGGCGGCGGCGGCGGCGGCGGCGGGGGCAGCGGCTCGGGGTAGAAGTAGCGGCCGTGCGGGTCGGCGTTCCCGGGCGCGCGGCCCTCGGCGCTCGCCGGCCCCGGCTCGGTGCCCGTCAGCATGGCTCGGCAGCCCGGCTCCACGAAGCCCATCCGGGGCGCGCTGGCCCCTTCCAGCCGCCGTCGGGGCCCGGCCTCTCTGCGCGCGGGGGCGGCCCACGGGCTGCGGGGGTGGGCTGGGCAGTGCGCCCGACGCCGGGGTCCCGCGCGCGCTGCGGGTGGGCGCGCGCGGCAGCTCCCTCCCGGGCTCCCGCTCCGGCGGGGCCGCTGTCACTAAGCGTCGCGGCGCCTTTGCTGTGACTTTATGAAGCGCTGGCGCGGGCGGGGGGGGGGGGGGCTGGGGGGTGGGGGGGAGCGCCCCGCCGCCCCCGCCGCCCCCGCCGCTGCCACCTCGGCCCCGCCTCGCCTCACCCCGCCCCCTCGCGGCTGACACGACTGGAGGGCCCCCCACGGGAGAGACGGGTCCCCGCGCCGGCTGGCTTCCTCTCCGACACTGCCTCCGCGAGAGCCATCCCCGCCGCCACCTGCCTCTCCGCTCTGGACCCTCCAGACAACTCTCGACCCTCGTGGGAATCTCCAGCCGCCCTTGACCTGGCAGCTCAAATGCCCCCTCTTCCAGGAAGCCTCCGGTGGTGGAAGCAAGCGCCGCCGAGGAGACTGGCGCGGCACAGGAGAGCCGCTCGCTCCCACCGCGGGCAATTCAACAGTTACTTCTTGATGCTACTGTTGCGCCCAGGCTCCGTGTTAAGTGGCTTCAGGGAGTGTTGCTCTCTTTCCTGTCCAGGCCCAAAGCAGGTCCTGGGCGGATCTGGCACTTAGAGAGGAGGAGAAGAGTTCCTCCACGTGGGCTGCAGCCCCCTCCCCTGTTGACGGGACCTACCTACAACACTCCCCTGACCTGAGGCGGCACCCCGCAAGGAGTGCCCCGTACCCCCGCGCCCACCCGCCAGATCAGTTTCAGGGCCACTTTTGGCTCTGGTGTGGATGAGAGCCACCGTCCCCTTCGCCTCCTGAGAGAGGGGGAAATAATCTGATCTTGTTTGGGGCTTTCTGGGGCTCTCCCTCCCTCCTGCCTGCATGGAAGAGCAGCTTTGAACACTGGTGCACACAGGAAGGAGCCCAGCACAGGCCCTAAAGGCCGCCTGCGCCCTTGGACCCCTCCGCTTTCTCTCTTTTCTTTCTCTCTTGACTAATGTAGTCACATCCCTTTTATGGTGAAAACCATCCTTTTCCCCCGTCAATTGAAAGTAGCATCATTGGGAGTTTTACTGTGTGTAAAGATAAAACATATAACTCTCATTTAAAAAAAAAAGTTTAAAAAAATGTTAAGTAGTACAGAACAGTGAAGGAAATTGTTCAACTACTAAAAAAAAAAAGTGGGCCCCAACTATAGTTCATTGATTGGATAGGGCATCTGCCTTGTATGTGCTGACCTGGGTTTGATCCCTGGCAACCCATATATGGTCTCATGCCCAAATTCTGCCAGGAGTGACCCCTGAGCCCAGAGCCAGGAGTAAGCCCTGAGCACAGCTGAGTGTGGCCCCAAAACAAAACAACAAGAAAAAAGTAATAAACCCCCCTTTGGGTCTCCCCACCCTAAGGCAAGCAACCAGAAGTAACATTTTGGGAGCGCCCCTTCATACATCGCCTCCCTGCACCCCACCTCTGGTTTTTCATACACACGTGCACGCACCCGCACACATAATTTTAAAACAAACTCCACATGCGTTGTTTTGCAGTATTTTTTTTTCCACTCAACAAGGTGTCATGGAATATTTTGCATATCAGTGTTTAGATGAAGTTGGACCTGTTCAAGAATGACTTGAAAAAAATACCATTTACCTGGCGTTACAGGCCAACTTCTCCCCTCCTCCCCTCCTCACTTCTCCCCCCAGGGGGGCCGGCCCCAGCTCTGCAGGTCTGTCCCAGCCCATCAGGGCTTCCCCCTTACGGGCCCCTGGGGACTCCCTGCTCCCAACTAGAGCTGAACTGAGAGGCAGGTTGGCAGGGGGCCAGGAAAGCTGGGGAGCCCAGGAGGCGGGCATGACCCAGCGAGGGTACAGGGAGAGGAATGAGAGCAATACCCCAACCAGGATGGACATACAACAGCCCCCCATAGAGGCAGCCTCCTTCCTCCACAGTCCCCCACCCCATGTCACCTCTACTTAAAGGAGGGGCAGTTTGTGTGTGTATGTGTGTGTGTGTGTGTGTGTGTGTGTGTGTGTGTATTGGTGGGCAGCCCCATTTGACAAAGAGAGGGAGCCCTTGGGGCTCTTTTGGGGGGCAGCAGGAGAATTTAGGAAACTTCCTGAAAGACCCATCCATTTTCCCAGAAACAAGAGCATGTTGGATGGTGACTCCGCTTCGGGGGAACATTCTGCTAAGGGTGTGGAAGTGGAAGGTCAAATGGAGTCTTCCCTCCCTCCCCTTTGTCCCTTTTGGGGGCTATACCTGGAGGTGCTGGAGAGCCACTGTCAGGGGACTCACGGGACCAGGCCTGTCTCCTGCAAAGTGGTGCACTCAGACCCTCTCCTCACCCCCCTTTTCCACACTCATCCTCAAGTTAAATGGTGAAACACCCTCCACCGATGCCTCTGAATCAATGCCCTGAGCCCCTCCCCGGCTTTCTAAGCAGGGCACCCTGGCTGTCAGAATCCGCTGGACTTGGGCACACGTCCCTGGAGGAAACGAGGGGGCTGTGGGCAGTCACTGGAGAACTGGCCAGCTGCCTTTGGGTCTCCCTGCCTGGCTCATCACCCCGAGACTACTCCCTTTCCTCCCTTTAATTTCTTCCATCCAAAAAAGAAAGTGCTTGTGAAAAGCGGGGGCTGGTGGCCCTGGTGCCATTACTGCCAGTCCCGCCCCTCTGCCAGCTTGGGTGAGAAGAACCCTGGCAGTAACACCTCCTCCTCCTCATCCTCCTCCTGCTGCCACCTCACCCTCTCCCCAGGCCCCAGGGCTGGAGAGGTGGAAGGAGGCACAGGAGACGAGGCCCCCTGGGATCCCCGCACTTCCCATCGCTCCCACACCCCAACCACACAACTGCTGGGACCAACCTCACCCTGGTTACATTGGGGCTGTCACTCACAGGCATCAGTCAGGGGGGTGATATGGGTCGTGCAAGGCTGTTTGTGGTCACACAGCCTGAGCTGGATTCCTGATTCCTGGCCCAGTGCTCCGCCACAGGAGAATTTTTTTTTTTTTTGGTGGGGGGCTGTAACTGCTTCCAGTTTACTCCTGGCTCTGTGCTCAGGGCTCACTCCTGACGGTGCTCAGAGGACCATATGGGGTGCCGGGGCTCTAACAGGGTCAGCCATGTGTATGGGAGGTACCTTAACTTTATCCTGTACTATCTCACTGGCTCCCAACCTTCTGTTTTGAAGGAGACCAACAACAAAGTCTGAAAACTGAGGATCAGGTTTGGAGGGGGCAGGGAGATAGGACAGTGTGCAGGACGCTGACCTCTCATGCAGCTGACCCGGGTTTGATCCCCAATATCCCATATGGAACCCTGATCATCACCAAGAGTGATTCCTGAGCTCAGAGCCAGGAGTAACCATTGCATTGCTGGGTGTAACTCCCAAAGAAAATACCCTCCCTGCCCCCAAAAGAAAGAGAAAAAGAAAAGATTTGGAAAACATGAATTCTGGGATGGGGTGAGGTGGCTCAAAGGGTTGAGGACAAGCTTGGCACGAGGTTCCATTCCCAGCAGTACCTGATCCCCCAGCACTGAGCCGGAAGTAGCTCCCAAACACAACTGGGTGTGGCCCCAAAGCAAAACAAAACAAAAAGCTGCTCTCTTCCTGAATCCAAGGCTGCTTTTTGAGCCCTTTCCTTCAATACTGAGAACGAATGACGCTCAACACCACCTCACTGCCATCTCTGCCTATTCGTTCCACTGAGTTCCCAGACCCATGGCAAGTCCCTGTCACCTCTGACTTAAGGAACTTAGGTGACACAGACCTCCGAGATCCCAGAGTCACCCCCAAAAATCCATCCACTTTACTCCTCCACCTCCAAGTCACGGTGGTTCCAGAGAAAGCTGGTGAGTGCCGGTGAGAGCCAGTGCGAGCTGACCACACCTGGTGGTCCTCGGAAGGACAGTTCCTGCACAGAGAGGATCTTATCAGAGCTTGGGGGCTCCTCATCCCACAACCTAACAGTTACCTGATCCCTCCTATGAAAATGTGCAATGCTTAACTCCTCCAGGGACCTGGTAGATTCTGGAAAAATGCCTTTTGTATATGAACTGCAGGTAAAGGGATGCTGGCAACTGGGGGAACTGCAGAGGGGTCTATGCTGGAGACTCAGAGCATAGGAGGCCCCAATTTCTGCCCTCCACCCTGCCTGGCACAGTCTGTGAGTTGCAAGGAGCCAGCAGGGTGAAGCCGGGCTGACAGCACATGAGGGACAGAGCCAAGGGGGACCTGCATTTCTGATCTGTTGGCTTGTTCAGGGGGTGCCTCTCCCAATGGTGTTCAGGGGTACCCAGAGCTATACCTGGTGGTACGAGGGAGGCCCTGCAGTGTCAGGAATGGAACAGGGGCCCTGTGCATGCCAGGCATATACCCCAGCCATCTGAGCTCTCTCACCTCAGCCCTGGGTCGAATTTTTAGAAGAAAGATTTAGAAGCCAGAGAGATAGTACAGCAGGTAGAACCCCACCAGGAGTGATGCCTGAGCACAGAGCCAGGAGTAAACCCTGAGCACAGCCTGGTGTGGCCCAAAAAGAAAAAGAAAAAACAAAGAGAGATGGGGCTGGAGTGATAGGACAACGGGTGGGGCACTTGCCTTACATGCAGCTGACCCAGGTTTGATCCCCCGTCCCCCATAAGGTCTCCTGAGCCCAAAAGTAGTGATCCTTGACTGCAGAGCCAGGGATGAGGGATAAGCCCTAACACTGCTGAGTATGACTCCCCTCCAAAAAACAAACGAACAGGTACAGAGAGAGATTTAGGCAGGGTTAGGGACACCAAGGCACTCCCAGAATTTGATTTAGGAAGAAAGTCTCTGGCAGAGGGGACCAAGGACAAGGGGTGATGCTCAAAGGGCTGGTTGCACATGGTCGGTACAGCCGAGTCCCGGGGTTCATCTCTGCAATGCTGGGGATGAGCTCCTGCCACCAAAGAGAAGAGGGAGATGGGTCAGTGAAAGAGAGGGTGACAGGGGCACACCTATGGGTACTAGAGGCTGGGACAGAGGGAAGGCTGGAGCCCCAACCCCACCCTCACTGTGTAGCCAGCCTAAGTGTCTGAGTTTCCCATGTCCTTCGTGGTTCCTTTGGAGTTCATGGACC